TGATGGTTTGATCGCAAGTTCGCGTTGTCTTTCTTTCTGCGGTTTTTTCATCAGTACCATTCTATTCATTGAAAAACAAATGAGATATTTATGTGCTATTTCTTTATGAAAAAATTTAATAATAATAGTAGTTTGATACATACGAGAATACTTTCTTGTTTTTCATGATCAATCATACGTTGTATTGCTGATGCAAATATATTGTTAAAATTGAATGATGTGTTATCATAGATTTTTTCTAACCATCGCTAAATAATAAAGAATAATATTTATGAAACTTATTTTTTAAAAGTATCAATCTTATGAATTACTTCGATTAGACGTAGTAAAGTATCTTCTTTTACAGCTGTCTGAAGTGCATGAGCTTGTTTATCTTTAAACATTGTTTGAGTAAAATGGTTCGCTTTATATGCACTTCGATGTTGATCAGTTAACCCGAGTTTCATTTCAATGAGACGAAATTGAAAAATTTGAAAACCACTTGCTGGAGTAATAAAATCTCGAAATTCAAGAAATTCCATCGGCGTCATTGATTCAAGTAAGTGTAATTGATCGATCAACATATTCCAAATGTTTGCCGTCCGATTCAAACGTAAGTTAATATCAAAAAGAAACGGTGCAACATTATCATTGCTACTGAAAATATATCGAATTGAATCGATTTCAAATAGGATTTGTTTGAACCAAAGTTCAAAAACTAAACAAAATCTTCTTCGATTAATTATAAAACTTTATTTCAAATTACCTTGATGAATTAAAATAAAAAAATGTTCATCATGCACTGGTGAACTGGTGTCGTTCGAACGATCAGTATGGCTGAGGCACTTCAATGCAGATAATAGTATATCCGTTTTCAAATATTTAGTGTAATTCAATGGTTCATCAACAGTTTCATGATGATTGTTGTTACCGTTTTCTGCTGTTGTGGAAATTGACAATCCATCAATCATACTGCTTTCATTATCATCATTTCGTACATTATCAAAGACTGGCTGAATGATAGGACAAGACATAATGCTTGTATTTTTATCTAAAAATTTTACAAAATTAATAATATTTAAAAAAATACATATTTCTCTGATTAATCAAAGTCGCTGATTTGAATTCGTTTTAGACTGAAATCAGACATTGTAGTTCGATAGATAATAACTAGTACAATAATATTATAACCTACCTTACCGATTTCATAGATGACGGAAAAACATGCATAAAATTTAGAAAAGCACAACTTTTTTAAAGGAAACTATATGCAAAATGTATCTAGCGAGATCGTTTGTAAGTATAAGAGTATCTTGTAATTTGCCTATAGTCGGTATTAGTTGTGTCAGACGTGTGTGAAGAGAAATATGTTTGATACGAGAAAGAATTAGCTAAGATTAATCATGCATGTGCAGTGAATTTGTAGACAATGCTAACTATAATGCATGGCAAAAGCTCGGAAGTTTCGAGAAAGTTGTTAGGTTATTTTTTCGAAAACATACTATACTTTACATTGACTTTCTCTAAATGGAATGAAACTTTGTGAGTTTCTAGTACTTAGGTTTGTAAGCATAACGGTAGGTTTCACAAACTTTGAAACCTTGCAAAGGGTCCAAATAAGAGGAAAGCAAGGTTGGGTCACCCAGTCAAATTGGCTCTTAACTAGCTCCTCTGTTTCCAATGATAGAAGTTTGAAAATTTTATCATAGATACAGCTTGTTGAGTTGAGTAAATTTTGTAGCGAATGTTTTTTTCTATTCAAATATATCTATGAAGTCAAATTGGATTTTCAGCTTTTATTAATGCTTTAATACTGTCAAACTGTTCTCTATCCAACGGTAACGTCCACCGATCTGTAATTTGTTCTTAGACCGAATGACAAATACATTTCTAGGTCCTATTTTCGATTTTTTTTCAATTTTGCATCCTCTTTTGTTAAAACTACGTGATTTCCAGAACCTGTCATATACTGGGCTTCCATTACGGCACCAATATCTGACATTCCTGGAATGTTCGCTTTTGGCCCAGGTGAGTTCACCAAGTTCGCTGATCCCTACGTTTTTATGAAGAAACTACCTGTTATAGCTGTTATAAATACTATATAAAAAATTAAAGATCGGCTAACTTGGTGAAATCACATTGGCCAAAAGTAAAAATTTCAGGAATGGTAGATATTGGTGCCGCAATGGAAGCCCAGTATATGACAGGTTCTGAAAATCACGTAGCTTTGATGGACGAAGATCCAATATTGCAAAAAATTGAAAATAGGGCCTAGAGATGCATTTGTCATTCGGTCCAAGAACAAGTTACAGATCGGTGGACGTTACCGTTGGATAGAGAACAGTTTGACAATATTAAAGCATTAATAAAAGCTGAAAATCCAATTTGACTTCGTAGACATATTTGAATCGAAAAAACGTTCTCTACAAAAAATTATCAACTCAACAAGTTGTATCTATGATAAAACTTTCTAACTTCTATCATTTGAAACAGAGGAGCTAGTTAAGAGCCAGTTTGGCTGAGTGACCCAACCTTGCTTTCCTCTTATTTGGATCCTTTGCAAGGTTTCAAAGTTTGTGGAACCTACCGTTATGCTTACAAACCTAAGTACTAGAAACTCACAAAATTTCATTCCATTTAGAGAAAGTCAATGTAAAGTATGGTACGTTTCCAAAAGAATAAC